GACTAATATACACAAGACTAGCCAGAAATAACAGGACACAGGTGATCACAATTAGGGATTAACATGAGGGTAATGAGGTGGGCGTGACACACACAAGGATCGTACGGAGCTGGGCGTGCCAGACCCCCCCCCCCACCCCCCCCCAAAAGGCGGGCACGCCTGAGGGGAGGCGACGGACGAGACAAGGGAGCCAGACCTGAAAGACAAAAAAGGAGACCATCAACGAGGCACAGGAAACAGGACGGAGACACAAAACAGGCACAAAGGCCAGGACAAGACCCGACACAGAACGGGAAACGCCGACAGACGGACCAGGAAAGGAGAAGGGGAGAAAGGCGGAACAAAAGGGCCAGGAGTGAACGGAGGCACAACAGGAGGCGAAGGAGCAGAAACAGGAGGGACGAAGGGACGAGGAGCAGACAGGGGAGACCAGACAGGCACGGACGGGGGAGAAAGGGGAGCCCGAGGGAACCCAGACGGGCTGCGGCCGGATGGGCCGCAGGCGAGAGGTAGGAGGGAGCAGGAGGGGACCACACAGGGGCCAAGGGAACGGGTCGAGGGAGAGACGCAGGGGACACGGAGGGAGCAGGAGGGACCACCGGTGCAGGCAGGCAGGAGGGGGCAGCCGGGGAAGGCGCCGTCTGACGCCCCGCCGCAGCAGGGGAGCCCAGAGGCGGCCGACACGGAGGCGGGACCGAGGACCGGCACCGAGGCACCAGGGGGGGACCCGGAGGAGACCGCCGACCCAGAGCCGGAGGACCCGCAGGCAGCCACCGAGCGACGGCCAGGGGGCGCACGGGCGAGCCAGGGGGCAGGGCGGGCGGGATCTGGGCCCGACGCCTGTGTTCCCTCCCCTTACAGGACACGGAAAGGCGGGGTCCTGGGGGGTATCGGCCTCGCCGGGGCAAGGGCGAGGGAGTCATAAAGGAGGTCCCCGAGGGGTCGCACTCGAGCTCCTCCTCCTCCAAGGAGGAAGGAGCGGTGATCAGGCTGGCTGGGACCTCCTCGGGGACTGGGACTGGAGTCAGGGCCTCCAGTGAGGCAGCAGGCGTGGCCGCGGGTGGTGGCGCGGGCGTGGCGGGCGGTGCAGCCGGAGCCGCGGGCGTGGCGGGCGGNCCCCCCCCCCACCAAACCATGAATGCAATGTGGTTAGTGTCTCAAATGGGGTTTAGACAAATGCAAAGGTGTGGTTTTAATTTTTTCTGTGCTAACTGTTCGTGTCCTGTGGAGATGGATGCGTTTTGTTTTCTGAAGGCTAAGGTTATCCAGATGGCTGCTCACAGTCACGCTTATCTCATCATCCACAGAGGGCTTACCCATTTGCATCATGGTCTGGAGTGGCAGATGTTCTCTGTAAAAGCAAACGGCAGGTTGGGTTGAAGGTTACGTAATCCTGAAGCAGCCCTGGGGTCCTCCCTGTAACCCCTCGGCAGGGGACACACGGTACCTCCTCGCTGGGCACCCCTCCTCTTTCAGGCGACATGGCTCAGTGTCCAATACCCTGTGTTTTCTGAGCCCTCTCTGCAAGCCACAGAACTTAACCTCTGTTTTTATTGGTGTTTTTTTTTTTTCTTTCTTGCTGTTTGCATTCCCGACCTGCATTTCTCTTAAGGAGGCTACTCCCCCATGGAGAAAACACTCCAGCACCCTCTGCAGAGTTTCGCACTCTGCGATTAAAACAGAAGATTGCAAAATGGAAATCTTAGGGGATTTTTTTTTGTGGTTGTTAAACTTGTGGAATTAATGTCTAAATAAAGGAAGTGGTGCCTGAATGTTTTTGCGTTTTCTCCACATGTGTTACTGTACCGTTGATATACAAATTTTGTCAGTTGGGACTATTTGCCATTTTTGTATTTACACCAGTCTAACAGAATCACACCATCCTATATGAAGAAAACAACATAACTTGCTGAGCTCACGAATACATTGCTACCAAACTTGTTCTCAAAGTATTGTTAAAGGTTGTCTTTGATCTCAGTACAGATCTGTGTACTGGTAACAGATTAATGAAGTGTATACACCGAGCAGCCATAACATTAAAACCACCTGCCTGATATTGTGCAGGTCCCCCTTATGACGCCAAAACTGCTCTGACCTGCGGAGGTATGGACTCCACAAGACCTCTGTAGGTGTCCTGTGGTATCTGGCAGCAAGACGTTAGCGGCAGATCCTTTAAGTCCTGTAAGTTATGAGGTGGGGTCTCCATGGATCGGACTTGTTTGTCCAGCACATCCTACACATACTCAATGGGATTGAGATCTGGGGAACTTGCATGCCGGGGAAACACCTTAAACTCTTCTTTTCATGTTCTGTAAACCATTCCTGAACAATTTTTGCAGTGTGACAGGGTCTATTATCCTGAAAGAGGCCACAGCAATTGTGGAATACTGTTGTGAAGAAGTGGTATACTTGGTCTGCAGCAATGTTTAGGTCAGTGGTACGCGTCAAAGTAACATCCACATGAATGCCAGGACCCCAGGTGGGATCAGGGCAGAAAGACTAATCTTCGCTCCCCACATGCATCAGTGAGCCTTGGGTGCCTATTACCCTGTCACTGGTTGACCAGTTGGCTTTCTTTAGATCACTTTTGGTAGGAACTGACCACAAGACCTGCCATTTCAGAAATGTTCTGACCCCCTTATCAAAATTGCTCAGATCCTTATACTTGCTCACTTTTCCTGCTTCCAAGAACTGACTTCACTTGCCTATCATATAATTGCACCCTTGACAGGTGTCATTTCAATGAGATAATCAGCATTATTCACTTATTCAACTGGTAGTCGTTTTAATATTATGGCTAATCAGTGTATGTAGTCAGGCTTAACTTTACAGCCCAAATACAGAAATTTTCCTGCCTTATTTTGTCTCTGATGATGACCTCGCTTACTGATTGATGATGGACTGGCGTATGTGATTTTCTTTTATCTCTCCCATTAATGTAGCGATGGTAAATCCCACTAACATGGGTTTTCTGGCATCTCATTGCTAATTTGATGTTTCATTTAGCTCATTTCATCAGGAGATAGGTTTTTGGGCAGCCATTTGACAATCGCAGCGTACTTGTTGGTGATTACAGGCAACTTTAATTTATAAACCTGTACTGTTTTACAAACTTTGCAGTGTATTTAAGGGTGCCTTTATGAGTGGCCTAGTTGGGAGTTACTGAATTGCTCTTTCCAAAATCTCTAACCAACTACATTTATTTGTGTATACAATTGAAAAACAAGTTTGGCAAGTCCCTGAAGCAGTTGGGGTTACAGGGAAATCTCTGTCAAGCAGATAATTTGAACTGGTGACCTTCTGTTCACTGGCATAGAGTCCAAATCCACTGAGGTCTTTGCATGCCCTATAATCTTTAACATGCGTGTCACAGATGCCTTCTTTAACTGAGCTCTCAGACGTGCCTGTCTGAACACCATCGCACCATCAGCACCGACCCCTGACTCTGAAAAGAAAACCGCGAGTAACGATTTAACTCGCCACTGGATGGCGCCAGGGTCCGCCGTACCAGGCGGAAGGTGCTTCGAGATCGTGACGTCCTCCAGTTTCCCACAATTCCGGAAGGGGCGCGCGCACGAGCTCGCTCTCGTTAGCGCCACTGCCGCCTCGTCGACCGATTGCTTAGTAACCGTCAAGGAGGCGGACGCAGTGGGAGAGAGAGAGAGATTCAGTCCCGGAGGAGTGGTCGGGGTAAGTAGTCCAGCATTTGGGGGTCCTTTGCCGGACAGCCGTCGCCGTGACGAGGTTGGAGGGGTTACAAAGTTTCATTTGGAAGGCTAGCCTGCTTTCGGGGAACAGACGTCGCTAAGTGGTTTGTGTGAGGTGCCGTGGTTGTGCTGACACTGTTTGGTTTTATTTTGATACACGAGTATGTACGTAACCTCATTGCCTCCAGAAAACTCCGACCGGTCCTCCGAGCAGCCGTTCGCCAGGTGTAACCCGCCGGTCCTCCGACGCTTCCCAGCTAGCTGTCACGGGGCGGCCGCCGCCAACTTTCTGTACGGCTCTCCGCTAGCGCGTGAAAACGTGATGAGGACTGTACGGCTGCACGCGACGGAGAACGAGTCAGTGCAGGAAGAGCCGCCGCCGCCGCGCGCCCTTCCAGAAGACGCAGTTTCGGGATCCAACTTCGGTGTTTTTAACATGCGCTTCCCGAGCTGACCGCGGAAGAGGGCGCCCAAGGTTCGCTTTTGAGGACCTGTCACTCCTGGATGAGAGGGCGGCCGAGTCTGTCCCTGGTCCGATCCGGTCCGTCTTTGGTGTGTGTGTGTGTGTGTGTGTGTGTGTTACGTCTCAGAATCTCAGTGCAGTTACAATGAACATCATCGTGTTGTTTAATTAACGTGCTTATTCGTCTTTCTATGTCATTTAACGCACTGGCTATGTCCGTTCTGCGTTTAACGCGACTAATTCACGGTTTTCTCTACTGTTTTAATTAATTGACTTTGGATAAAAGCTTTTGACGTGTAAATGTAACCTTTTGTAACTCTTTACCACGTTTTATTTGGTGAAAAAAAGCTGTAGTGTGATACATGTGATTTACCAGATGACCTGGTGGTCTAATTAAATTTAGAGTTTGCGTTTTGAACTGATGCTGTATGAAATCCTGAATGTTTTTCCCACTTTGGGATTTTCTTTCGGCGAACGTGCTTCAACCCGACGGTAATCACCGTCATCATCGTCAGATAACGGACCACGTTGGGTCGGTTGATCGTCCGCTAATCACAAATGTGCTGTGATACTAAAACCTTAGTGTAACCTAAATGCTGGAATGACATTTCTGACCCAGTGTTTGTGGTACTTAAAGCAGTCATACAAAATCTGAACGTTTCTTTTAGTTGTTTCAATTGACTTATTTTGTAAAATATTTTGCCCGAGTTTGACACCAAATCAAACATTATTTATTTTACCGAACACCCTAACGTATAATCGACACGTTAGCCGTCCAAAATACCAATTTTCTCAGTTCCCGCTGATTAATGGATCTATCGACGGCGCGAGTTCACTGTCGACGATACCTACGGTTTAACTGCAATGAAAATGACTCAAGCTACACCTTGCTTGATTTTGAGCCCGAACGCTTTAATATTGAAGGGCACTTGTATTTCATAATTCAGGATAATCAGCATATGCATTAGCAGGATTTAAATGTTTTGATAAGATCTATATTTTTGTATTTGCACCAGTACCCGGCGTAGTCTCTGTGCTCTAATAGTCGGAATACCGTCAGATTGAAATTTATTTCCCCCTCGATATGAAGTTGAATATAAGGGAAAGACAGCCTTGTCTTTTAGATGTGGGAGGGAGTACCAAAAATTAAACTTGGACTGTTCTCCTCAGATCTGTACTGTTTTTTTGAGTTTGGGTTTATGGCTAATCCAGATAATAAACATGTTATATTTACTTGTATACATATGTTTACACATATTTAAATGTGAGGCATTGAGCCAGAGAGTACCAGTATTAGACTGTTGAAGCTAGGTCACTAGGAGAAGATGTATCTCAGATGTGGGGTGGGGTGGGGGGCACTTATCCAAGCAAATAAATGATTACATGATTTGTCTCGTGAATTGTTGTTTTTTTTTTTTTAAATGGCAGTGAACTAACTTCATAGCTAGGGCCAGTCTTTCACTATGTGACAGTCTAGAAAATGGGACGCAGTAGAGGAAGAGCTGCCGGATTTTTGGAGGCTGCCATAAAATCAAAAACAATCAGATTTTCGTCTGTCGCAAGTAATACATTGGAAAAAAAAGTCAAAAAGTGTGAAATGAAGCCAACAAAAACCAACGAGGACCCTTGAACTTAAACTAGCTGGATTACTTCAGCATGGTGTCACGCTCAGAAGGCAGGCGAGCCGGGGGAAGCAGGCAAGATGAGCCAGTCAGACGGGAAACCGGGGTTTATTGAGGGATCCGGGCAGACATCGGACATGACAACATGACACTACACAATGACCGATCTGGGAGACAGTGGGAGACGCGGACTAATATACACAAGACTAGCCAGAAATAACAGGACACAGGTGATCACAATCAGGGATTAACATGAGGTAATAAGGTGGGCGTGGCACACACGAGGATCGTACGGAGCTGGGTGTGACACATGGCTTGTATTGTTCAAATAAACAAAACTTGTAGACAGTTGAAGGCCTAGAAAGGTGAATGTTATTTTTTTGGCGATATTAAGCATTTATTGTTTCTGTATATATATACCTCGTTTGTGTGGCCATATTGATTACTAGCAGCACCTGACTGAAAATTTGCATGTGCTGCATCATGAAGGCTTCTCTTCTCGTTGCCCTCACGGACATTTTCATCCAGCCCAAGTCCAGACGATGATAAGCACCATTAAAGGCTCCCCGTGAAAATGACCTTAAAATAAGTGGGGAGACAGCCCGAATTGTCACGGAGGTGTCAGCCTTCAATGGCTGCGCTGCCTCTTAGCCTCACGTTCTCCATTAAAGCTGCCGCTGGAGCTGACTCTTTTGCATAATTTTCACCAGATATACTTCTCAAATTTTTATCTCAGGCTGAATGCATTCAGTTTCTTAGGTGACACAATTAGCTGTTCAGAGGCTGTCGTAACGTGCAAGCGTAGCATTTGTATGCCTCAAGTCCCCCAGGCTAGTTGCAGAAACCTTCTGTTTGGCTGGCCCCATGTTCTGCCATTTTTTGCTGCTTTGCCAGAATTTTCTACATAGGCAAAATGTTCAGGTATATCGGTCAGTTTTTCCTTTGTTGCCAAAATATCCTTCCCATAGTTTTGAATGGAC